TATAATAATTATAGTACAATTAATGATTAAACTATTTTGCAAATAAAATAAACCATATTATAAAAAGGGGAAATTTCAATTATTAGACTTATTAAGAAAAAAAATTACTTTGGTAAGTTTGAATATATTTTTAAGGTTTTCTTACCGTTTACTTTTCGTTAATGGGATGTATTACACTTCTTGTCAGCAATCGGTTTATTGTACTCTGGAATCATGTTTGAAATTGATGTTTTCAAAATATCTTCCAATTGTTTATCGGTTAGAGTTGATCATTGCTTGTTTTTATTCAAGTTCATAATGGAGAAGGTTTGTTCACATATGTAGGTACTCCTGAGTATTCTGAAAACCTGTAAGGCACCATCTAGCAGATTTTTAAACTTTCCCTTGCCCAAACTCTTGTAGAAGTCTTGAAGTTTGGTTTCTCTGTGTTTATTTCGATAAACTGTTGAGCACTGAACTTCAATAACCTCTACCTATAAATGTGCAGGGAGTTCCTGTGGATCCACAGAGAAAGGATCTTCAATTAACTTAAATTTAATGTCTTCTTTGGACAATGCCAGTCTTCTGATCCACTCCTGGATCAAAAGTTCAATGTTGTTTGAATATTTTTCTCCTAACTTGGGATGCTTACACAATGGAATATGTTTCATACACATAGTAAAGTGGCACATTTCTCCTTTTGTCAGTTGGCTTTTGAATAACCTGAGTTTCGTTTTGAAAGCCTTTACTGTTGCAAGAATGTGAAAAATAAGTGGACTTTCCCTTGAAGCTGTAAATTTAGTTCATTTAGATGACCTGTAATGTCATTATTCCAAACTTCATTGTGCAGCTCTGGGAACTTTTTTGAGTCATTCTCTAAGAATTGAACGATTTCTTCCTTGAGAGCAATGAAATGTTGCAATACTCTTCCACGGCTCAACCAATGAACCTCTGTATGATAGAGTACATCATTGCAGGTGGCATCAGCCTCTTCAAGAATGCTTGAAATGACCTATGCTTCAGTCC